TTTGTAGACGAGTTCATCGTAAAGAGGGGTGGTAGGTTCCTACACAACAAATGTTAAATGTGAAAGATTCAAATCTTGTGTTAATTATTAATCTGTGCCTGTTGTAATTTTACAAGCCATTTGATTTTAAATTAAACTCGCGTAAATTTGAAAAATAAAATAAAAAAGAATAAAAAGCAAACTTTATATAATTTATATTTTATCCAGCTTGTTGTTATTAGGTTTAGGGTCATTGTCAGAAGTTGCGAAAGCACTGTGTGTTGATGAACAACAGCTAAAAGTGTTGAATTCGTTGAGAAAATAGACAAACGAAAGAGTGAAATAAAGCAAGATAGAAATTTTTATTCTATCAGGATCTCTTTTGCGTAGAGAAAATTTCATGGATAGTACCTAAAAGAAAGTACAAAAGGACATAAACTCTCTTTCTCTTCTTGTTCTCTCAACCACAGTATGTAATAATGACAAGATGTAATTCATTTCTCTGTCAGGGAGAGTTCTTTCCCTTAGTTGTAGAGTAATTGGCAAAAATGGTCAACAGATGGAATTGATATATTTCCCAATAAACAATGTCATGATATAAATGTGCGTTTTCTTGTTACTAAGAGTATGTTGGCAGAACAATGCTCCTGAATAATAACTTTTAATAATAACTCCTTTCACCTTCTAGTATTCTTAAGAATTTCTGTAAAAAAAAATGAATAAAACGTTGAACTTACTCTGTTGGTGTGTTAAAGTGTGAGTAAGGTGTTTTGTCAAAGCTATATGTGTCTATTACATGTAGAGCTAATTTTAGCATCCTATCTCATCTTTGGCACAAAGTTAAAATGAGAGAACTAACCTCTTGGGATACACACTATGCATGTTCCCAGTTTTTTTTTCTATGCATGCCCAAAAGCTGAAAAGGGTTTGCTGCTGACCATACTTTTTCTGTGTTTGGATACGACTTCAAGGCAGCGACAGTTTAAAATTAGAGCTTTCCTTGATCTAGATCAGCCATTGTCAACCTTTTCTCCATCATTGACCCCCTCGGCTTTATGTATTTCTCCATTTACCCCCTACTCCCATACAAAAAATTCATAGCCATCATAAAGCATTGATATACAATTTCGTGACTAAATGAATGAATGAATGATTTTTTCATTCAAACTACTAAGGGTTTTTTAATCAAAATACTGTGCCTAAGAAAAAATACTAAGCAAATACTAACACTCAAAATACTGATTTCTTATTTAGTACTAACTAGCAGTAGAGCCCGGTGTTGCCCGGGGATGTAACAGTAAAAGATAGATCAAGTATCGACCATCATAAAGACTGAAAAATAAAATTGACAAAGATTATTGTTTAAGGTTGACGGACACGCATGTCTTAATTAGTTTTTTTTTTGTTTTTTTTATTATTTTTTATGAATTGGACAAACCCAAACTCAAACAAAAACATTGTTTTCAATCGTTATGAGTCTATCGATTGAATAGAATTTTATTATAAACAATTGTCTTGTAAATGGAATTTTTAAAGCATTCTGAATGTAAAAATAAAGAAAAAAGTTTGCAAGACAATAAGAAACACTACCTGCCAAAAAAATAGTGAAGTTTTGTTGAAATCGGTTGAAAAATGTAGGAAACCGATCCCATATATAAAAGAACAGACACACACACACACACACACACACACACACACACACACACACACACAAACAAACAAACAATGTGGGTTTTTAAGTATAACTCGATATGAGTTGTCCCCTTTTCATTCTCGCGATGCCTCTTAATCATGTTTTCAAATTGATTTTGTGCAAAAACAATTGTGTTTTTCCAATTTTTGGTGCTGTCAGAACCACCACAAGGTAATTTTACGTAGTCCTGTCAAGTTTTGCTGAAATCGGTTGAAAAATGTAGGACATCCGATCCAATATATAAACGTACACACACACACACACACACACACACACACACACACACACACAACCTGAGTTTTATAATAAGTATGATTTTTTGAGACTTAGCATGAGCAATACAAATTCACAGATTAGGTATAAAAAAAACCCCAGAATGATGTTAAAATGGGGGAAAATTTCTCATCCTTTATTAATAGTCAGTTGTGCTTAGTTTAATTTACAACTTATATAAATGTAATTAGCAAAAAGCAAATGTTGACAAGATAGTGAGGGTCCCAAAGGATTACCCACCCAACCCTTCACCAGTCCTTCAAGAATAGTACACCCTGACCCTAATTATAACAATCATAACAAATATACTTTCTTTTTTCCATTTTTCTCTGTGAAAGTATTGAATATTTTGACAGGGCCAAATCTTCACCACATGTACCTTCCACAAATATTTTAAAACTTTTACTTCTGCCAGTTTTATCAGTTTATTCATATTTAATATTACTATGTGGATCATCAAGGTATGTTTTGAAACTAGGGACCTTTTGTTTGTAATATAATTCTAATTATTCTACTCACGCATTTATTGATGCATTATTTATGGAAAAATGTTATGTGATGGATTTCAACTTTCAAAAGGACTTCTTCAGAATAAATATAATAAATGTAGTTATATGCAACGATACTTAACTTTAATTTAATATTTATTTTCTTATTCATAAAGTTACTGAAACATTAATTTCTCCGAATATAATTATGATTATAATATCATTGTGATTATTATGATTTTAAATTTTATTTTCTTATTTATAAACATTAACTTATTTGATTATAATTACTATTCTAATATTATGATTATTTAGTGTTCTACTTCAATTTAATAATATTTTATTTGTGATCTAACTAATTCCGTTGGTTAAAAAAGATTCCAATACATTTCATACGTAACAGTACTGTGATCGACAAAATCTGTAAAAAAGTGGATCACAGATCCTGATTTTGGTCAATTAATGCCAATAACATGGTTTTGTCTCGTCCCGACGGTTAAAATTAATTTCTCTGATTTTGATTGGACATCACATCTTCAGCTTCAACTTCAACTCCTCTCTTTGCCTTCTCTCACATACCAATAACATGGTTTTTGTCTTTAAGAGAAAACATTATGAAGATGCTATCACACACACACATGCGCGTACATGCGAACATTATTTACCCCTTCAACTACAAGCAGCAGTTAAACTTTAAATTTACAACTTTCACCTTTGCCAATATTCACCAGTGAGAAATATTACTCAAAAAAAGTTTTGATTCCATATTCTATTCAGAAGCCTATTGTTCATGTTCATTTAATTAATCAGAAGGACGATAAACAAACAAATATATAACAAAATAGATTTCAAACAAAGTAAAAACAGAGACATTTATAGATCAAACATCTTCAATTACATATTTACAAACAAGGTTAATAACTTCATTGTATGTTGCTGAAATGTTGGATGTTTTGTTTGTTATTTTTCTCTCACATACAAGTAAATGTAGTCTACCTTTGTTGTCTGTGTTTGTTTTTGTGAAATTTTAGTAATGTTTGTCAATGTGCATAAGAAATATTAAGAGTAAAAAACGGGATTATTATGAAGATATTCAGCCACCCACCCACAGGGTGTCATGCGGCACAAGGCCTTTTTAATGGGCATTCTTTGACATTTGCTCAGCCAAAACATTATTTACCCCTTCAACTACAAGCAGACAGAAATTTATTCAACTAGACTAACAGCGCGAAATTTTCCTTCAAAAAAAAATTTGAACATACTGTCCAAGAGAATACAACTTTCGTCCGGAGACAGAGACCTCTTGCCAATATTCACCAGTGAGAAATAGTACTTCCAAAATCTTCTGGGGCGATAGCCTCCTTCGGGTTTTTGATTCAACATCGCCAGAAAGTTCTCAGCTTTCCCAAGATAGAATTCTCTCATCTCAATAGAATATTCATCTCTCTTCAGTGAACAATTTAAGCAGCAAGTTATTTCAACTTATTTATGCTAAATTTTATTCACGAGCTTAAAAACTACATTTTTTTAGTACCAAACACAATTTCTTGATATTGCAAGTAAAGACTACAATTTCATTTCACTAAACAAGTTTCATTGACTTCTTCTAATACGAACTTTCCAGTCTACAACACCTTCTTATCTAAGAACATTCTTTCATTGAGACTGAACTTTATTTCATGAAGTGAAATCTTTTCTGTGAGTTCAGATAAAAATATTTCCTCTTAAAAGCTTTAAGAATTTCAAGTTAAAGGGAAATAACTCCTGCTATTAGTTACAACAGTTACTATATAAAAATCACACACTTGATTGTTTATGTCATACAGTGAGTAAAATGAAGATTGTTTATTATAAAAACAGTTTTTGTGTTGTTTCTCTTGTTTGCTGACACATTTGTAAAGTAAAAAAATGTACAGATTGAATTGAGGCCGTTTAAACCGCTACAACTCTTATAATTTAAATGTAATATTTTATTTATAAAATTACTAAAAAACATTATCTGATTATAATTAATATTCAATACTTTGTGTTATTTAAGTAATAACATAGATATAAGAATAACATATACATAAAAGAACACAAATTTAGATCTATAAAGTTTGGACATTAAAGAAAAGGGCATTTTTATTGACTTAGAGATCAAATTAAATTTGGTAATGGAAAAAAATAAGATTATCGTAGTATTTGTGTTGCCGCATTACATAGCAGTTAAGTACTGTTTTTATTTTTTTGTAAAATTGTTTTATTATGTAAAGACAAACATTTATAAATTACTTTTTATCCATTTATTTAAATATAATCATTTGAACTATAACATGGAAAAAATAACTTGTATCCGATTTGTTGTGCAGAGTTACTGCCCTTGTGAAAAGGAACTCGCACCTCAACGAAGGCGTAAAGTGCGCGAGTGTTCATTGGCGGGAATTTGTAGGCCGCGCGAAGTACGTCCTCGTGTTTGAGTGCTTACATTGGATAACATTTTCTCCACACGTTCTGTCTGTTACACATTATCATTTTGGTTGATTAAAAGTTTTCTTCTGTTTGTGATAAGAATTCATTAATCAATCATGCAACGAGCTATTACGTAAGTAGTTAAATATTTATAAAATGAAACAAAACATTTTTTTACGTCTTTCTTTTGATATGTCGTTCATTGTTGTACGATCGGGTGTTGCCAATAACAACTTGTTGGGAAAAAGTTGTAATTTCGTTTCTTTTTTTTAACATCCTGTTTCATATTATTAAAGTTAGTAGGTTTTTTTTTATGTTAATGGTTTTATTTTAATGATCTATTCTTTTTCTTGTGTGGGCCCGAGAAAAAAAAAACAAAGAAAAAAGTTAATCGAAGCGGTGTTTAGCGTTAAATGTTCCTAATATCTGTAAGAAAAAGTTTTAAAAAATCTGATTTGGATTAAAATTACTTCTTAAAAATCTATGAAATAATGACTGACAAAAATGCACGTATTAATTCTTATGGTTGTAGTTTGTGTCTGAATAAAAAGAAAAATGTTAATTTTATAAGAGGATAAATAAATCTGTTGAAAGGCCTATATTAGTCATGTTTGTTTCTTTCAGTCTTTAATACGTAGTTTAAAACAATTTCAATTATCTCGTGTTGCATTACTCTATTGCGTACCCTACGATGGTAAAGTTTATCTTTTAATTTATGTATTTAAAAAAAAAACATTTTGATTGTTTATCAATTATGTTTTTAGTTAGTAACGTGTCTTGGTGTAATGTACATCGCTCGATAGACGCTGTTAATGTTAATAAAGAAAGCGCGGGTAAATCAAAAATACAATTCCTACTCTTCCGTACAAATGAGTTGACTGTTAAGGCGATGCCTTGTATAACATTCACTTTTCTTGTTTGATACGAATTGCTGTCTTTTATTTAAGTTTGAATTCCTTACTGAATGAAAACGAAAGAAATATCGAAAAAGAAAGCAGCTCTTGATTATTTTTATTTTCGATAATTCCCATACAAGAAATTGAATCCGAATCGTAGACAACCAACTACAAACATATTTTTAAATTTTAATTATCGGCAAATAATTTTATTTGCATGTCTTACCATCTAGAATTTTTTATGGGGTGGTGGGGAGTAGAATTACTAGCTCTATGACTGAATATGGAGAGTCCAAGCCAATCAAATCTGAAGAGTTCAACCTGCGCTTCTAACTCCATAGTTTGTTAGTCAGGACAATATATGGATTTATGCCTTGCTGAAGGTTTTTCTGTGAAAACTGGCACAAATGGAGCTTGTCTCGGACAAGTGACAGCACAATGCAACTTGAATATTGTTTTTACATGATTTACATCTTCAAGATCACATATCTCTAAAAAAGAGGCCGACCAAAGAACAAGTATGATCAAATGTTGCTTTATGAATCTTACTTCCAAAAAGGTAAAAAAAATCCTTTATATTTCATTCATTCAACTAGTACTTGAATATGGGGCTGATATCTGGAGCTCACACTACAAAAAATATAGTGAATTATTGCAATCAACCCAAGATAGCTACAGGCAAAATCAATCTGCCATCCATCCAGTCCAGAAGCCAGTTCAGTGATCTGTGTGATGTATACAATATAGTATTAATTATTGAATATACTGAATGTGAACAAGTTCTTCACTTTCACAAACACCATGATGCTTGATCATGTACATAGGATAACGAAACAACACTTGAAAACAATAGCAAGATCTGCACTTTTTTGCACTGAGGATGATAGACAAGTGAAACTCTTTACTTAGTGATGTTGTGAACACCCGAACATTGGCTATTTTTAAGTGGGAATTACTAATTCAGCTCAAATGCAGTGAAAGACTAAGTTCTAGAACTGTAAGAATAACACAAAGCCTGATCAGGATGAAAATGGAGTACTGTTGCCATATTTGAGCAGTATCTGCACAGTCTTCACTTCCCAGTCTTGATAGAGTTTGAAAGCATCTCAGAGTCCTGTTGGAGAATAATTATTTTCCACATCCCATCCTCTCTCTCACAGGCGGGATGTAGCAAGTTTCACTGCTACAACCATGGAAAGTGTTCAGACAAACTGCATCTCCTGGTTTTACCAAGTCTGACCTTCACAGCTAAGACTTGCCATACCACTTATATAGTAGCAAACCATCCACATTCTCTCCATATTCTATTGCTGAAAAGTAAGTTCCACTCAAACAGCTTCTTTCTGCGAACTACTTCCTTATAGAACAGACTCCCTAGAGGATCTTTCCCCAATCACTACAATTTTAACCTGTTCAACTCTAGAGTCAACTGTTATTTTCCCCTCCTATCCATATAAATTACCCCTTGTTGTGATCCTCTATCTTGAGTGGCCTTGGGCTTTGTACAGGGTGAACCTGACAAAAAAAAAATGTTATAAGCATTCATGTTTGACAGCACAAACTGACAGCATACAGACATGGATATTTTTGTTTTGTACGATTTATCTTCAAGTTCACATATCTCTAAAATTGTAAGGTAGGCCAAGCAAAGAACAAGTATGATCAAAAGTTGTTTTATGATTCTTACTTTGAAAAAGGTAAAAAAAAACAAAACAACTTTATGCTTCACTTATTCAACCAGTATTTGAATATGGAGCTGTTATCTTGAGGCCACACTACAAAAAAATGAATTGACTTATTGCAATCAATCTAGGACAGGTACCTCAGCCTAGCTACAGGTGAAATCAATCTATCATCCCTCCAGTTCAGTGACCTGTGTGAGGTATACAATATATTGAATGGTTATTATAAAGTGAATGTGAACAAGTTCTTCACTTTCTCAAACAGGATGATGTGTAGCCACAATACACACAGACAAGCTGATGAAATAACACTTAAAAACAGTGGCAAGATTCAAATTCTTTGCCCTGAGGGTGATAGACAAGTAGAATTCTTTAATTAGTGAATGCACCAATATTGTTTGTTTGTTTTTTTTTTGAGGAAATTTGTGGATTCTGTTCAAATAAGTTGAAGGACTATTGACTAAGTTTTGAAAACTAGTAATCACATGAATTCTAAGCATTTGTGTTTCTTATTTTACGTTCAGTGATGTGTTCTTTCATGTCTTTTCATAGATTATCACCAAGTCTAGCAGAAGGTTATAAATCATAAAAAAATACTTAAAACCGTTTTCATAGATAAAGGTAAATATTAGTAAATCGTTGGGCACTGAGCTAGTCTAATGTTTAGCATGCTTGTCTTGCAATGCCAATTATGACTGACTACTAAAAATGGTGGCAAGATCCAACATTTTTGCCCTGAGGGTGATAAGTAAATAAAATGCTTTACTTAGGGATGTTGTGAATGGACCAAATGTTGGCCATTTTCAAGGGGAAACTAAAGAATAAAATCTTCAATAATCTGGAATTTAATTTTACATTTTTGCTGGGGGAAGCCAATGCTTTGTGACACAATTTTATCAACATTTGCTTTTTTTCTACCTACATTTATATACGTTACAAATTAAAGCACAACTGTCTCTTAAAGGATGAAAAAAATTTGTGTATTTTGACGCCATTCTAGGGTCTTTTATTTTGTCCACATCTGTAAACTTGTTTTGCTCATGCTAAGTTTAAAAAAGAAAAAAAACACGCCATAAATTTCACTATTTTTTTATGCATAATGTTGAATGTGTTAAAATTCTTCAACTTTTTAACAAGAAAAATCTCAAGTTAATGTTAAAAATTACTGCAAAACATTTTTGATTTATTTGAAATGGAATTATCTGTTATTACGTCTCTCTAATTTGTATTCAGATACATTGTATTTATTTTTCAACATTTCTAATTGAATTGTTCACTTGTATTGCGTGTGATCTGTTATTGTACATAATTAGTTTACAATAAATCTATTTTATATGAATATTACCGTATGAAAATTGAAATGTAATTTAGTTGATTACCTTAGTTTCCTATATAGCTGAAAATATTTTTTTCTGAACATTAATTATCATTCTATTATCCCCCGCTTTCACCAAATGTTATGTTAATCCTGTAGACTCCCTTGTGAAATATTTGGCAAAAGCCTCATCACTCAAGATGCTGCTGCTCTGGGTTGCATTATGTGTAGGTTTTTTTTGTATTTATTTTTCAACATTTCTAATTGACACTATTTACATTATTCGGACTAGTGTCCTCATCTTTGTTGCCACATGGCACAGTGAATAAAGGCGTTGGTTAGATCCAGTGACAGGACCCAAACACTGTGAGTTCAATACCCAGTTAAGGCAGTGGAGAACTTGGAGAGGGGAATTAGCAGGATATAACTGATAACTGACATCCATTAAACATGGCACGTGGAACTAGAACAGTCTACCCCAGTGAGCGAAATAATGGGTTCAGTTTGATATTCCAACCACCTGAAGAAGGCCAGAGTGTACAATGGTCAGATGTTGTGACAAAGATGAGGACAATAGTCCAAATAATGTAAATAGTGTACGTAATACCTCATCTCAGAAATATAGACAGATTTCTAATTGAATTGTTCACCTATATTGCATATGATCCATTATTGTACATAATTAGGTTACAATAAATCTATTTTATATGAATATTACCATATGAAAATTGAGATTTAGTAGGCAGGTGTTTATAGGTATTATTGCCTTGGGTTAGTTACACAAATGGAAGGGAGGTAATTCAGCTTGGTTACCTTGGAGGGAACATGTAAGTAACAATGTTTTATGGAAAGTGGGATGAAAGTGATACTTTTGCTTAGGGTCAGAAAGAAAAATTTTAAATTTATTAGGCATATGAGAAAAGGGAGCCTGGATAATCTGATATCCACAGTATATATTGAAGGCAAAAGAGGAAGAAGGAAGCAAAAAGTAAACATACCTAACAAGTTTGTATAACTGGTTGACATAACAGTGTGTGGGGGAGGTATAGTAAAATGTCAGACATTGCTTAAGAATAGATGAGAATTTGTAGATAGTCGTGATCAAACACGTCCAGAAGGGATATGGCACATAAACAAATGCAGAAATAATTTACAGCAAGGAACTCAATACTTACTCCTTTTTTTTATTTTATTTATTTATTTATTTTTTTGTCAGTAAAATCCATTAAATTAATATTGATAGGAGTAGATAGGTTTGCTTATTGTCCATTTCACACTCCTCCTTGTTGTTTTGAACAGGTGTAAAGATTTATCCCTTTTTTTCTGTTTAGGATTTGATTTCCGGTCCCTTCTAAAGCAGGGTTTACCAACTTCTTTGCCTCCACGGGTCAGATTGAGTATTAATGACTAATGCTAAGCTGTACGAAGGCCATAAAAGAATAATTATGGAAAATTACATGTGCTAAAATTTAATTACTAGTGTTGACTATACTTATGAATAATTTGTATTGATCACAGATGAATGTAGTAATCAAAAAAACATCATTTATTCAATTTAAGACATCGGTGGAATCATTTGTTTAAAAAAGTTTTAAAATACATTGCAGCCAAAAAAATTAATGGGAAACTTGATGTTTTTTGTTCTTTGAAAGCTTCTCAATATTAGGCTTCAAACTTGTTGATGCCAAGAGCAAGGTATTATCAAAATGATTATCCATTAATCTTGTTCTCAAATTGTTCTTTTGCTTCAATTTGCAAAATAATTGCACACACTGATAAGTGCTTCCAAACTTTTGTGATGTCAACGAATGAATACTTTCGTAATGCTTGTAGTAGAGACTTTGTAATTGCAGATACAACTACAGTAATACTATTGAACAATACTAGTGTCATATGCATTCAAATAGCTCTCGCACTCTAGGTTTAAGTGGGATGTTGAAAAACATTGGTTTAGATCAGGGGTCAGCAACTTCTTTGTCTTTAGGGGCTGGATCGAGTATTAATGACGGATAGTGAGTCGGACAAAGGTCATAAAAGAATAATTATGGAAAATCACATATGCTAAAATTTAATTACAAATGTTGACCATAGTTAAAAATATTTTATATTAACCACAGATAAAATGAAATATTCAAAAACATCATTTATTCAATTTTAAGACATTGTTGGAATGATTTGTTCAAAAAATCTTAAAAATTTGCAGCCAAAAAAATTAATGGGAAACTTGATGTTTCTTGTTCTTTGAAAGCTTCTCAATATTAGGCTTCAAATTTGTTGATGCCAAGAGCAAGATATTATGAAAATGATTATCAGTTAATCTTGTTCTCAAATTGTTCTTTTGCTTCAATTTGGAAAATAATTGAGAAGTACTTCCAAACAAAGATGCCATCTTTTTTGCATGATTCACTAAATTGGTATACTTCCCACTTGGAAAAATATATTTTGCATAGAAATCAATCAATGAAACAGAAGATTTGTGGAAGAATGTAACAGCAAGTTTTTTATTATATTCGAAAGCCTTGTCTCTCATTACAATAAATTTAAATTTTAAATAAGCACTTGCTTCAAGTCTAGTCAAATTTTAAAATAAAAAAGTCAAGACTCGAATCAACTCATGAGGCAATTACTATAAAATTTATTTACAATATTTTATGAATGGAAAGACAAAAAAAATTCATTGCAAAGCAACCATCTGATCAAATAATTTTGAATTGAACCTAAAGTTGTTTCTTCTGTTCTCTTTGGCCTTATGCTATTCCTGCACAGATCTCAGCACAAAATAGCCTGACTGAATGTGTTTTCTGTCAAGGCTCAGGGGGTGGAAGTTGGACCTGGACTTTTCGGACTGGACTTGGACAAAATTTTCAAGTAAATTTTGGTACTGGACCAATCCGGTCCAACAGAGTCCAACTTCAACCTCTGGTCATGACTTGCCTCAACTTGTAAGTCTTATGAGTTGAGTCAACTCATTGGGCATCAGTTCTCGCAGGCTGGTCAAAATCCCTTTGTGGGCCATAGGTTGCTGACCCCTGTTCTTCAACTCTATACTTCTAATGTCTCTGACTCAACTTTGAAATTTAATTTCTATTTATTTTTTTTTCCTCTATAGGAGTACATATGTTCACCTATTGTCCAGTTTACACTCCTCCCCTGTCTTTTGATCATGAGTAGAGGTTTATACCTTGTTTCCTTTTTAAAATTGGGTTTCCAGTTCCTTCTAAAATCTTTTTCATCACTCTTAGTAGCCCCCTTGCATCTTAGTGGTATTATCACTTTTATTTATTTGAACTAGCTCAGACATTCATCAGTCTATCACTGTCTCGTATCAGGGTCAGAAGGTCATTAGTGTGGCATACTGTGTCATAACAGAGTTGATCAATGTGGGTAGTTACTGGGAAAACAGCCTGTCTTGTGTCATGGCTAAGTGTTGCAAGTTCTTGTGTTTCTCACCAGTGGTGTCTTGCGAAGGACATTCTACATTTTATATAAGATTGTAGAAATAGCAGAGATGTGTCCATAGAGTTTTGATTTAGTTTTATGTTGAGAGATGTTAAGTATAGCTCTCAGCATCTGTGTGTAGATTCCTTTGAACATAGACTCTTGGGTTTTAATTAACATCCAAGCTGTGGCACTATACATTATACTACCTTTTGCTTGGGGTGAATTCATTTGAAAAAAAAAAAAAAATGGAAAAGTAAATTCATGATTAATTGCAATTTCATTGTTTATTTATAATTGTTTTTGTTTTTGTAGGTCATTTTTTCTAACATCGCCAAAGAACAAGTCAGATGAGCAGAATGGCAGTAAAAATGAGGAGAAGCCAGTCAAGAAAACAAGTCCTCAAAAGTAAGTGACATTTGTATTTCATTTTGTATCACATTTCAGATTGACCTTATTTAAAATAAGCATTGCAGTCGTCACTGATCATGTTGACATTTACCACTTATCACATGACATGTTTCCAGAAGCACTTTCACATATTGAAATCTTCCATTAGTATAAGTAGTAAGATTGTATCCATTGGCAGCTTATTAGGCCTCCTAGTATTCCTCAGGAGTCACCCATTTGAACTGGTTCATGTTAACATCAGTAATTGGATGAGAACTGGTATTTCAACAGATATGGCCATAGTACATGAGTGATATCATGAAGGAGAATTACTTTGTATTCCACCCTAACACTCTAATGGATCATGAGAATAGAATATTAGACATCAGTTGCTCTAGTATCATGAAAATACAAATCAGTGTCATCAAAACTCCCGGTTAACCTTTTTTCCTCCCCCAAGTTTTGTCCTATAAAAATTTTAAACCGGTACCTCCAGAAATTTTCTCAAAAAAAAAAAAGAGAGTATAACATGATTTAAAAAAAGGCTCCAAACTTGTCAAAAACAAAGTTTTTATCATCAAAATGTTTGTTATTCTTAAGAGGAACGACCAAAGTAGTTTTTATTATATTTTATTTTGTTTTAATCCTTTCTGGCATGTTTGAAATTTCGGTTAAAAATTTTGTTTTGCTTGCATCAGTAGGTGGATCAAAAATTACTATAGGGATGTTTAGTGTCTTTTTGGCATTAAAAATGCATTGTTTTGGAAATTATTGCAAAAATCAAATAATTGTTGGATTTTAATTAAATTTTCAGTACTTATTCATAAATGAATGAAATTATTCTTTTTTTTTTTTTTTTTAAGACAATCTTGTTAAAGATTTTTTTTTTTTTTAAATGTTAACCCTACTCAATGTTATGAAATTTCAAGAAATTAAAATTTCAGTCTCTTCATATTTATATTAATTAAAAGCAGGACTCCTTGAAGAATTTAAATCATCAATTTGTTTTTATCAAACAGAAACGCTATTTACCAAAAATATTGCTCTGAATCCTAAAATAAAAGAGGTGATACAACTACAACATTATTTAATTAGAAAAGCTATTAATTGCTTTTATAAATCTGATATATCAAGGACACTTTCATAAAAGATTTTTTTGATGAATAATGAATTTTTACAAGTATTGTTACTATTTTTTAAAATTTTAATTACAAAAATTTATCAAGTTTTAAATCTATTAAAATTTTATATTAATTTTAACCTTTTAGATGATATTGTTAATTGAAACTTATATTTACCAATCATAAATGGAAAAGCTTAATACAATTCAACAAACACCAATATTTTTAAAAGAATTTTGAATTTTCTTTTATTTGTATAAATGTGCTGATTTTCAAAAGTATGGGTGACCATACATGCCCTTATCAAAAAATAAGAGCAATAACTATAGTAAATTTAAAGTGAAAATTTCTAAAATCCAATAAAACATTCAATTATGGAGAATATTTTCTTACATTTTTAAGATTACTGAGTACTTAAAAATGTCATTTTCTTCAATTATGTTTTACAGATAAAATCTCTACTGTTGGGTTAAAAAAGCATTTCTGCGATATCTTAAACTTAAAGTAATTAATATTTCTTTCAAATTGGATTAATTCTACTTGAAATCAGCAAATATTTCCTCAAATAAAGTTTCAGAAAAGTATATTTTGATTTTGGAAGATTTTTTAATAAAGATAATTATATTGCGATGAAAGATGACTAAAAAAAGGGTGCTAATCAGCTATTTTAGTAAAAATAAAAAAAAACTCTTTCCAGTTAAATTAGTTTTTGATATATAGTAAAGTATTTTGATTATTGGAAATATTAAATTTAATCTATTAGTTTGAAATTAAAACTAAAATAAAAGCGTCAAGAAAGGTTTTTCATTTTTAAAAATTTATTTTAAACCTTAGGTATTGCGTTTTTTATGGAGGTCTCTATTTTAAACCATCCTGAATTCAATTTTTTTTTTTTTATTGTTAGTTGTATAATAAAAACATCATTAAAATGTTTAGGAAATATTTTAAAATAGCTAAAATATTAAAGTTTTAAAAATTATTAAATGCTAAAATAAACAAATAAATAGTAGAAATTATTTAAATTTACTGTAACTTTTATGAATCAATTTTTTATTCAAACATTATTTCTTATTACTATGAATGTTATTTTTTAGGGGGGGGAGACGTGTAGAGCTTCTTGATCTAGGTTGCTTGTTAATTTCATTTTTTAAGAAAATAAAAAAAAAAATATAGGAAATACTGGGATGACAACTCAAACAATATGTAATTCTGATAAAATTTAAATTTGTTTTCATTTTAGCATTTTGGTTAAATCCCCTTGAATAATTTTACATGGAAATATTCTTATTGTGACAGCTACCTTGTGGTATAGTTCATAATCCGGCTGTCGATCTGGGTTGATCTCTCATAGTAGTTCTCACTGGTTGGCGTGGCGCTCCTGCTGCTGACTGCCCACACTGACCATGAGAGATCTCTTCCCTGGTCTCCTGTCGACTGCCTCTGACTGACCGTGACAAATCTCTTCCCTGGCCTCCTGTCGACTGCCTCTGACTGACCCTGACAGATCTCTTCCCTGGCCTCCTGTCGACTGCCTCTGACTGACCGTGACAGATCTCTTCCCTGGCCTCCTGTCAGGCTGCCTCTGACTGACCCTGACAGATCTCTTCCTGGTCTCCCTGTCGACTGCCTCTGACTGACCGTGACAGATCTCTTCCCTGGCCTCCTGTCGACTGCCTCTGACTGACCCTGACAGATCTCTTCCCTGGCCTCCTGTCGACTGCCTCTGACTGGCCCCTGACAGATCTCTTCCCGGCCTCCTGTCGACTGCCTCTGACTGACCCTGACAGATCTCTTCCCGCCTCCTGTGGCCTCCTGTCTCCTGCCTCTGACTGACCGTGACAGATCTCTTCCCTGGCCTCCTGTCGACTGCTAGTACTTCCCCGTGTGACCCCTTTTATGGTGTTTTTTATGGCTTAACAGGCTTGAACAATGACGCGAGTATAATTAGGAGGGAAGCATTTTTATTGGTTGAAAAATAGAAACACTTTAAAATATTATTTTATTTTTTGACCGGAACTCGTACATCGGGCCTATGTGCAAACGACGATAATGGTCATTTTGTGATGGGGCCTTATCCCATTCACATCCGGCTTTCGCTCTTGAGTATGTTAGTTTATTTGCCTGCAAATCAGCTGAGATATGTCTTATTTTATTTTATAACACTTTTATCATATTTTAAGAATTGTACTCTATGCATTGCTTTCTTATCTGAAAAATATTATTGCATTTCCAAGTTTTTTTTATGAAAAAATTTTTAGTCACACTTACCCATTGTACATCTTGACTAAATTTTCTGTTTATCATTTTTAAAATTTTCTCTTGTATTGTCAAGATTTTTTCACCCCCCCTTTTTTTTTTGTGAAGTTTAACATTTGTATTTGGAAAAAAAAATGTCAAAAAGTCATTTCCTGCACATTATTAGTAGATAACACTACCTACTTTGATGTCTTGTTCCTCCAGCTGTTGCATAGAAAAAAAGCCACAATTTTCCTCCAATTAGATCAGTCTTTGGCAAGTTGCTGACCCTCAGAGCAGTTGTTGTTTCTTTTTGCCAGTTCTTCTTTAACTATAGTGCACCGTATCATTTTAGGACAGCCCCTTAGAGCAACTTTCATGGCCCACCAACATTGAAAAATCAAGTTGAATAGCTGTCATGAAGTTTTGCATCGTCTGTGTTCTTGAATCAAATAGTCAATATGTTGTATTGTTGTCTCATGCTGATCTTACTTATTATAAAACGCAGATTGTGTGTGTGTGTGTGTCTGTATGTTTATATATTGGATCGGATTTCCTACATTTTCAACCGATTTCAACAAAACTTCACAGGTTACATAAAATTAACTTTTGGTGGTTCTAACAGCGCCAAAAATGGAAAAAAACACAATTGTTTTTGCACAAGATCAATTTGAAAACATGAAATCAATGAGAGGGAAACCTCATATGAAGTTATACTTTATTATAAAACCCAGGTTGTTTGTGTGTGTTCGTTGAATATGGGATCGGTTCCTACACAGAGATTTCAACAAAACCTCATTTTTTTTTTTTTTTTGGCAGGTAGTGTTTCTTATTGTCTTGCACACTTTTTTTCTTTATTTTTACATTCAGAATGCTTTAAAAATTCCATTTACAAGACAATTGTTTATAATAAAACTCTATTCATTCGGTAGACTCATAACGATTGAAAACAATGTGTTGAGTTTGGGTTTGACCAATTCGTAAAAAAAAAAAAACTAATTAAGATGTGTGTCCGACAACCTTAAACAATAATCTTTGTCAATTTTATTTTTCAGTCTTTATGATGGTTGATACTTAATCTATCTCTTACTGTTACATCCCCGGGCAACGCAGGGCTCTACTAGTTATAAATATGGCTGTTCTATTGGAGTCTCATCCTGCAGATTTGTACACCCTTTTGTGAATGCACTACACCAGACTGATACTGGCTTTCTGCTCATTACATGTCTGCTATACATAGCAAGAAGCTCTCTTTTTGCAAAGAGAAAAAAATCTTATACTTCACACCTGTTTATATACAGTTTTATAGAGACAGCCATCTTTGTTGTGATGTCACATATGCATTTTTCTCAGTATTAATGCTGTTCTGGCTGTAAGAACTACTGCCTACTTTTTGCTGATTTGTACAGGGTGACCCAAAAAAACGGGAACTTTTTAACAATCCAATAAAACCAAGAGTGATGGAAGAAAAATATTTTATTTATAGTAATTGAAACCTTAAAACATGCCATTTAAGAAACAATGATGAAATTTTCATTTTTTAAAAATGACGTCCTATAGATGGCGTCCTCCTGTACAAATGCCTTCTTGAAGTCTGTTGAGATTCCTCATTGACTGCTGCAACATCTCAGCTGGGATGCTGTGAATTTCATCTTGAATTCTAAATGGCGAAATGTTTACTTGCTCAATGTCACTGTCTCATGTCTGGTAATACGCATTTCAAAAATTCCCGTTTTTTGGGGGTCACCCTGTATTTCACAGTTTTTATTCCAGTCTATTTATGCCTGTCTGTAGCTATCTTTTTGGAAATAACTATTGTGAATATAAAATATATATGCATATATATTTATGAGTATTCTTTTAATCCTTCCATCCTCAAGCAAGGCAATAAAGTCACTAAGACATGATGGATTATTTAGTATGAGAGAATATGAGAAAAAGGAAACATTATTAAGGAGAAAGAAAAAGATATATACCTTGCTATCTACCTTGTTCCTCCAGCAGTTGCACAGTAAAGAGACACAATTTCCCTTAGATCAGTCTTGGGCAAGTTGCTGAGCCTGGAGCCAGTTGATGTTTCTTTTTCTCAGCCCTTTCTTAACTGTAGTGGACCATGTCATTTTAGGACAACCCTTTGATCTTTTGCAGCCTTCAGATATCCCATTTAGAGCAACTTTGGCTAGCCAACCATCAGATAGTGGTCAGTGAATTGCATTTTGCCACCATTACACTAAATGTTCTAGAATTTGCATGTCTTAGCACTTCCTTGTTTCTGATTCTCTCTAAGACACCTTTTAGAATTTTTGCAAAGGCGTCTAAAATGGAACTCATTGAATAACTTTTGTGATGTATTTTCAAATTTTGGTTGCATATAAGGCAGTTGAGAATCCACTTGTAGTTGACCCAGTTGTCAATTCTCTAGGAAAAGAAAAATTTGGTTTCATATGTTTGAGTTTTATTAAAAGTCTAAAAATATATTTTTAAACCAATCAAAATCATCAAGGGACTATACAGTAATAGTGATGTTAAGAGGAAAACCATCCTTTTGACAATGTTTTTTGTGGGTACAAATGCTAAACTTTACTTCATTTTTTATCCAATAACATAAATATTGATAAGACATTTGCTGTTGAACTGCTAACTCCTTGTTACTAATATAAAAATTACACTTTCCTCTTTCATGCGGGTATCCAAACCTTAGTGTCACAAGTTATTGCTTACCCTGTTTGCAGTTGAGGTCTGTGCTACACACAATTATTGTCACCAAACTCACAATCCAAAGATGGGTTTATTGTTGTCCCATACATTGTTTTGATAGATGATTTAGTTTTTTCTATTTGCAATATGTATTTTGTACTTTGTTTTTTTTTTAACAGCACTGACCTGAAGATGAAGAAGGCGGTGAAGACATCAGCTAAAGAAACAGATAGTCCTGTGAAAAAGCCTAAGAAACGAGCAAAACGTATTATTGAAAGTGATGATGAGGATAAGTTGATGATAAAATGATGATGATAACAGATGAGGATGATGAATTAAGGAAAAAGATGGAAAAGAGGAAAGTATAGGAGGAGGTTTGGAAGCATCTGGTGAGGATGGAAAATGGTGAATGGGGCAGTGAGAAAATCCAAAAATGCATTTCTACATTATTTTTCCTCTCTCTTTTCTCTCTCTCTTTTTCTCTCTCTCTTCTCTTTTCTCTGTTCTCTTCTCTTCTCTTTTCTCTCTCTTTTCTCTCTCTTTCTCTCTCTCTTTTCTTTCTTTCTCTCTGATTTCTCTCTTTTTCTCTCTTTTCTAGATTTCTCTCTTTCTTTTCTCTTTTCTTATTTTTCTCTCTTTTCTTTTTTCTTTTTTTTTTCTCTTTTTTTTCTTTTCTTCTCTCTTTTCTCTTCTTTCTCTCTGATCTTCTCTCTTTTCTTTCTCTCTCTTTTTTCTCTCTCTCTTTTCTTCTCTCTCTTTATTTCTCTCTCTTTTCTTTTTTCTCTCTCTTTTCTTCTCTCTCTTTTCTTCTTCTTTTCTTCTCTCTCTTTATCTCTTTCTGATTTTCTTCTTCTTTCCTCTTTCTTCTCTTTCTCTCTCTATTAGTATTGTCTCTACAGAAGTCTATGAAAAAAATTGAATAAATCAAAAGAAATGTCCTGGAAATGGTGTTAAACTACATCCAGCATCAAAACCTCTGAGAGGTTTTGAGTAGCGTGGAACCACCGCTTAATTGCTGCTGTTCCCAGGTCCCCTCTGACCCAGGGTGCTTGCATCTGTTAGGAGCCTAGCTTTGGACAAGTAGTGAACTCCCTAAATGGGGTCAAAATAAATTAGAAAAAAAAACAATTACCAAAACTCATAAGAAAATAAAATTCTGGCATTAAGTGACCCATAAGGAGTTGATATGCCATAAAACCAAACCAAATGGATGTAATCTGGAAATCTGATCTACCAGACAAATGGAGATTCTTTTGAGCTGCTGTAGAGGTGGTGTTAATCTATAGTGCCACTGCTTGGACATTAACTAAGACCCTTGATTCGAAGCTTGATGGGACTTACACTTGCATACTGAGAACTATACTTGGAAACAGCATCCAGCTAAATCACAGTTCTATAGATCCATCCCTGATATTTCTACAATCTTACGTGAATGCAGAATGCTTGACATTGGTGTCGAGCAAAATGAAAACTTGCGAGTAATCTACTGCTGTGGAGACCTATCCATAGAGCAAGACAGGTTGGTTGCCCAGCAATTACCTACATTGAGCAACTGTTATGACACAAAATTCCACGCTAATGACTTTCTGACCTTGATTCAGGACCGTAATGTTTTCTGTGATAAACTCATGAGTGTCTAAACTCATTTTACTTGGATAAAACGTAGATTTCGTTTATATATTGGATCGGACATTTTTCAACTGATTTCAACAAAACTTCACAGGATGGTAAAATTACCTTATGGGTGGTTCTGACAGTGCCAAAAATTGAAAAAAACATAATTGTTTTTGCATGAAATCAATTTGAAAATGCGATAAAACATGATTCTGCCACCAGAATGAAAGGGGGGACAACTCATATTGAGTTATACTTATTATAAAAACCCAGGTTGTTTTTGTGTGTGTTCGTTTATATATGGATCGATTTCTACATTTTTCAACTGATTTCAACAAAACTTCACTTTTTTTTTTGGCAGGTAGTGTTTCTTATTGTCTTGCACACTTTTTTCTTTTTTTTACATTCAGAATGATTTAAAATTCCATTTACAAGACAATTTTTTATAATAAAATTCTATTAAATTATTCATAATGATTGAAAACAATGTTTGAGTTTGGTTTGAATTTGTAAAAAAAAAAAAAAAAAAAAAATTAAGACATGCGTGTCCGTCAACCGTAAACAATAATCTTTGTCAATTTTATTTTTCAGTCTTTATGATGGTCGATACTTGATCTATCACTTATTGTTACATCCCCGGGCAACGCCGGACTCTACTGCTAGTTGAATAATAAAAAAACAACAAAAAAATTGTATATCAAAAAAAAAAAAAAAAGAAAAGCTAGTTGATTAGTGTATTTTTCAAGGATAATGCTTTTAAGGCGAGCAGTCTTTGAAAGTAAAGTGCTTAATATTAAGAAATAGAGCATTAATAGTAAACAAATAAAATGTTCAAACTTTGTAATTCTGACTTTTGCTGAAATGGGATCCCCTTGTCAAAGGTTCAGATAGAATTTACTGTCTTAATCCTCTGGTGAACAGATCTCATCTCTGTAAAACCCTGATTAAGAAAGATAAGTTTTTGAACATTTTATTTTTGTATGTGATTGTTCGTAACAATTAAAAAAATAAAAATAACTTCACCGAGTGATATTAAGATAAATTACAGAATAAACAGAGGAGATATATTTACTGCCAAATGTGCAATTTTTTTTATCTCTAAACCTTGAATTTTTTGTTTCTTTCTTTGCCTTTATTTCAGGAAAAAAAAGATGAAACCCCTGAAAAGGAAGCTGATTCAGATGAAGAAAAGCCAAAGAAAGATTCTGTATCTGCAAATGACAAATCTCCTTCCTCGTCAAGCATCAAGGCAGATCCTAGTACCCCAAGCAGTAGTAAAACTGATGTATCTTGTACACCTGAGAAGTCACCATTTGGTATTCCGAAACGAAAAACAGGTAAATTGATTTTTTCATTAGAAGCGATTATTGAAATACTCTTATTTCTGTTGTAGCATTTTGATTAGTTGACTTTCCTACCATCAGCAGATGACTTAACTTTCTCATGAGTATTTGTACAAAAGTGAGCTAACCATTGCCACTACCTATAAATGATATATTTTTTGAGGACATTTGTTGAGATAGTTATCATCGATTTTTTTTTTTTTTTTTTTTTTTCATTTTGAACTGAAATTGACAACTACTGGCATGGGCATCATAGTTTTAGAAACTTTAAAATTAATTTCTGAGATGGGATTTTATCGTGCTACTATGGTATGTGGTCTAAACAGTATCAAACACACATAGCACACGGTCTACCTCATTTACTACAATAGTATACGGTCTATTATCAAACACTATAGTATGCGGTTTACCTCATTTACTACATAGTATTATATCCGATAGTATAAAAAAGAAAAATGTCTCTATGCAAGGATTGAAATTTCATTCTCTTTATAGGGAGAAATCATCTTTAAGATAACGGTAGACATGGGCAGTGGAATAAAATATTGACTCTCATAGATTAAATAAAGGAAAGTGAAGAATTCCCTGTTTGATGAGGTTATCCAGATTGATATACACCTGATGAAGGGCACACAGCTGAAACGTAGTAACAACAACAAAGATGAGGATAATAGTCTGAATATAAATAGTGTAACTAATGATAACTTGGTGCTACTATAGTATGCAGTTTACATCATTTACTACTATAGCATCCGATCTACTGTGCTATTAATTATGCCGTGACCACACCTCATCTCTCATGCTGTCCACCTGTGGTCTACTATGACGAATTCTACCTTCTCCTTACCCCTCGTGTGTCCTATCCATATAAATAGAAGGAAATGGAGATTCCATACCAGAATCCCCCAGATCTGAAACCATTAACATCACGTTAAAATGTTTCTGAATGATTTATATAGATGTCATCTTAACTGAGGAAGCAGCAGTCACATTTTTATTAGAGAACAATCTGCTAGATATGCTTTAGTGTTAGATACTCTGATAGACTGCATACTATTGTAGTAAATGATGTAGACCGCATGCTATAGTGTTTGATACTCTGATAGACTACATACTATTGTAGTAAATGAGGTAGACCGCATGCTATAGTGTTTGATACTCTGATAGACCGCATACTATTGTAGTAAATGAGGTAGACCGCATGCTATAGTGTTTGATACTGTGGTAGACCACATACTATAGTAGCACCGATAACATCCCATCTCAGAAATTACCTTTAAAGTTTCTAAGTTTTTGACTCTCAAAGCGTTATTTTTTTTCTTTTTGCATACATATGTTATAAGATCAATTAAATCATGACTTGCTGTGAGATCTCATGGTTGAAAAGTCAAATAGACCTAACTTAAAAATGGTTTCCCAGCTTAAAGAGAATGTAGGTTCAGTCCCTGCCAAGAAACACAATTTCTTTACTCAGACATTTTTGACTACCCAGGCTGCTAGATGGATATTTCACTATTTAAAAAATACTAAAAAGAAAACTGTAATGTCTGCTCGAACATGTGTACCGGTTTCATTATAACATGATTAACGTAAATTATCTTTAAACTGCCATATAGGCAGTAGTTTAAGAAGCTAATTGTTTTATCTTGATTGGACCGAGGCTTGTTCAAAAGCTTAAGAGTCCCTTAGTCTTCACATATTCCCAGTGTTGGGAGTTCTTCCAGCTGTTGTTTGATCTGGGTTTTCATTTTTCATGGGACTTTCTTTTCCTCTGTTGGCAAAAAGATTTTTTTTTGGGAAAATAATTTTGCCATATAAACAATAAACTTCTGAAAAACATAAAATTGATTGCTACATTTAAGTATTGCATTAATATTTATTTTACCTTTTAAAAGTTCAATGATAATTCTTCATAGAAAGAACTTAATTTATAGACAATTTAATGTACATTTAAATGATTCATAAATTTTCCAAACAAAATCAATTATTCTTATTTCATCAGTGACTTTTGCTGGATTTTGCAATTAATTTCAGTTATTCCCAAATTTATTTCCAAGTTATAAAAATTATCATACAAAAAAATTGGTCGTAAAATATCACATAAAAAAAATTGCTGAAAACAATCACATTAATGAAAACTTGGGAATCCAAAATTTCTGGATTGCGGGTCTGGATCTGGCTCAGAATGTTTTTAATTTGCTCATGGGGTTGGCCTGATTCCAAAATGGTATGATGTGTTGGGCTATGGCCCCTAGGATTAAAGTTGAAAACGCGGACAATTTTATTTTGAAAAACTGTAATTTGAGAACAGTAATTTTTTCATTTGAACATGAGCTATTGAAAGTTAGAAAGTTGTTCCCTCTAATTGTTTTTATCAGTAGAAACTAAGATGGCGAAATACAAAAACAATCACAGTAATGAAAACTTGGGAATTCAAAATTTCAGGATTGCAGGTCCCAGATCCAGCCCAGTATGTTTGTATTTTGCTCACAGAGTCGGCCTGATTCCAAAATGGTATGATATGTTGGGCTATGGTGTCTAGGATTAAAGTTGAAAACATGGACAATTTTATTTTGAAACACTAATGTGAAACCAGTAATTTTTCTATTTGAACAGGAACAGGAGCTATTGAAAGTTAGAGATGTGTATCCCTTTAATTGTTTTTATCAGTAGAAGCCAAGATGGCAGAATCTGAAAACTATTGCAGTAATGAAAAATTGGGAATCCAAAATTTCACGATTGCAGGTCCAGATCTGGCCCAGAATGTTTTTAATTTGCTTTTGGAATCCCTGATTAAAATGGTAAATGTGTAATCCGGTCTCTAGGAGTAAAGTTGAAAAAATGAAAAAATGACATTCGTGATTTATTTAAAAGAAGAAATAATATCAGATTAAGATATTCCTTATTTGTTTTAAAATTACTCTGAGTATGTTTTGGGTATGAAAATAAAGTTAACAAATATATAGGTTTCAAAAAGTCCCATTGAGAGATGAGCATTTCTTAAAATGGCTAATTGAGCCTAACTATGTAGTGAGGTCTCTTGTGACTGAGTGGTCTAAAGCACACTGAGCTTAAAAATGATTTATCCTGATAAAGAAAATGTACTTTCAATCCCTGCTGATAGGCATTTTTTTTTTTTGTAGGACTTACAATTACCCATGCCAATAGATGTCAATGTCATAGTTTAACACATTAAATGACATTTTTGAGATAATGTTAAAAATAAAGAAAAACTAGCAGCCATGAAATAACCCATGTAGCTGTAAGTTCTATGCTGACAGTTTCTTCTCTTGAACTTGTAGAACTTTCTTCTGGTTTCTAGCTTCCCAGTCAACTTTGAACTTGAAAAATTTAAATGCAATGTCAGTCGTTATCCTCCATCTTAATTGCTGTTTATTTTATTGTTTTCTCATATTAATAATGATTTTCTTATTATATTCTCAGTAACCCTCTTGTGGGGTTCTGTGAAACAAGGTCAGTTTATTTGGGGAGCCTGAGCATGTACACCCAGGCAAGCAGCAAAAATTCCCCAAGCACTTGCAACCATCAGTCACACTGGCCTCAGTGCGTGTACTGATCCCTCTCTCTAATGCAATGAGAGGGTGCAGCTATTCCCCATGGCTGGCACCTCTCTGTATAATTCTCCTTTGTTGCAACTCTGTCCATAGACAGAGACGCAACTGATCATTCAGTATATGTATTATATATTATCTACTTCTAGGCACTGTCACTCTTCAGGTTTAACTAATTTGCATATTGATTTGAAAAAAGTTTTTTTTCATTAATTAACTGTCCTTCATTACTGTTTTTTTATTTGAGGATTGTTTTGATTTTCATATAAAAAGTAGTTTTGTTTAGGAATATTGTCTTATGTAGTACAAAAAAGTGTTTTGAAATTTGCATTCTACTTGGCCTTCAAAAAGTTGGCATCTATTTGTGAAACTTTCCTTAACTATAACAAGCCAATTTATGAATGAAATGTTCATTTAAAATTTTTGTTTCAAAGATTTCAAGTAGTGAATATATCTTACTTTGCAAAAACAATTGATAAAGAGTTTAAAAAATAAAAATATTAAAAATGTTTAATATTATGTGAGATGCAGTAAGATACAGATATTAAGTTTATTAATTGCTAAATATCAATAATAACATATTTGCTTTTTTTTTTTTTTTTTTTTTTTTGATGTGCAAGGATGGTTAAGTAGTTATTTTTTTTCTAATTTTTAGTTTTAGTAGTTATCTCCCTTGTAACAACTGTGTTTTTGTTAAGCAATGTCTGACTTCCATGAAGACAGCCTTAAATGGAAAAAAATTGAAAGACGTGAAATTAGTAAGGACTTAAGATAATCCTTTGTTTTTGTTTTTTTTTTTATCTTAAGGTAACTTAATTTGTAAATAGAAATAAGTAATAAACTGAAAGAAAAAGAAATATTTTAATAATTCAGTATCTGGGAAGCTTAATTTTGAGAAACATTTCAATAATGGAAATTAAGTATTTTTTTATTTTGGCATTTCTAATGCTGTTTGGTAGCCAATTTTCAAATGCATGTAGAATAATTGGTCATGGCTAAGTGTAGTACAAGACATTGTAAGTAAAAGGCAAAGCAAAGCAACTATAAGACAGAAATGAAGTCAAAATTTCTCAAATTAAGAATAGTGGTCACATGAAAAAGGGATACAGTCAAATGGTTATAGCATTCTGACATCATGGAAAGAAAAAACAAAAATGTGAGGGTAAAACTGATTTCTTCATTTTTTTTTTTTTTTTTTTATTTGTTAGGAAAAATATCCCAGCATGCATCTGTATGATTTGTCACTTAATTTGGGGTCGGGATGTTCTTAGCAGTCATAAAAAGTACAGATCTTATATAATTTATCATCTGAAAAGAAAAAAAAAAATAGATCACATGAGAAATTGTATAAAAACTAAATCAAAGCACCTTGTCTGTCATATTCAATGAAATAAATAAATATATATATATATATATATATATATATATATATATATATATATATATATAATTATTTATTTAAAAATATGATTCAAAAAACATAAGAGTCTCATGTTTCAAAACAAGAGCCGAAAACTTCAATATAATCCTTTAAGCTTTCGGCTCTTGTTTTGAAACATGAGACCTCTTATGTAGCGATTTGGAATCATATTTTAAATAAATAATTATATTTATGCTCTACTTTTTCGAAAGCACTATTTTTAAAAATAACTAAAATACTAAGGGACTTTGGATTATTTACCTAACCAGTTCCTTCCTATTTTCTATATATTTTCTCATATATATAATGTTTTTAAATTTTTAGTTTTGAATGATATTATCATCAAGAAGAGTTTTTAATTTTCCATACGCATGAACAGGTTGCTTTAAAACTCCTCACGTTATTTTAAATATCACAAGTGTTTCACTGCAGACAGCTTCTTCACCAGAACTGTTGCTTTGGGGACTAGACAACAATCTTGGTGTATTTAAGTCCAAGGGTTAACTGCTATCTATCCTACATGTCCTCATAATATGGATCTCTTACTTCCTCCCCTTCGTCCTCAGTTACAACAATCTCTTTTGGTAATCCTCTACCTTGAGTGGTCCTTGCATTGGGTGAACTCACAGTACAAAGAAAAAAAAACATAACACAGCATTGTTATTAAAACATAACTGGGTACTGTAAGCAACCTTCTGCAATCTGAAATATGTTTCAGCTTTAAGGGTTGATACATCATAAAGAAAACACTTCTTGGCTAGATAGCCATAATTAGGCAATATTTGAAAGAAAGATTCAGACTAGATAGCCTGAGATATGATCAGTGGAACATAAACAATTTAACCTTGCATTTTAAATTTAGGGTTCAGTGTAAAATTCTCTGAAGGTTACCTAAATTGACGGACACCTGAAGAAGTCTGAAGGTACAGTGGCTGAAACATTGTGATAACAACAAAAATGAGAATAATAGTCTGAATATAATAGTGTAAATAATAACTTCTCACACCAGAAATTCAGACAGAAGGTGATCAGGAGGATAATAACAACAACAAAAAAAAATTAAAAAAATAAAGTGTTGGATGATCAGTTGATAGAATTAGCCTAATTAGACATTGAAGTCGAAACCAAGGTTGCATATTCTATCTGATCTAATTTTTAAAGTATATATATATATGTGCGTGTGTGAGTCGTGTAATAAAATTGTTATTAGTATTAAGTACCTTTTAGGGATGAAACATTTTGTGCAAGTGTGTGTGTGTTTCTTTTCTTATTTTCTTGTTCCTATTTTGTCATTTGATGAGACTAATATATACATTTGTTTGTCATATCTTACACATAGATTAGTATGACTGACTTTTTTTTTTCTCTCTCTTTCTCCAGCTCGAAAATCGGTTGCTGGTGGTGGTAACCCAAGCAAAAAAAGGAAGGTCAGTGGTGATGATAGCAAGAACAAACGGTCTCGCAAAATCGATGATGATGATGAAAGTGAACAAATGGAAGCAGATGATGACAAGCTCTCTGCCACAGTGAAAACGGATAAAGATGACAAGGATTCAGAAGATGAGGATGCTGATGACAAAGTAAGGAGTGTGAAATCCTGTGTAAGGAGTTTTCTAATTAGTGGAAGTTGTGTTCAAATTCCTTCCTAACCTGTTGCATTCATTTTTGCACAAATATTCTTGGAGAAAATCATGAATCAATCTCTTCTCACACGCCTCCAGCTATGGGTTAAATAGCAGGGTAAATCAGGATAATTGATTGGGAATCAGTCTAAGAGTGGAGAAAATCTGAATTCCAGGCATTGGAAAGGCAGTAGGAAATCATTCTACTATCTTTCCTAAGAAGGCATGACAGTTCACAGGTAATAAAGAAAAAGGAATCTGTGGAGAGCCATGATTTTCATTGTGACTAGACATGGCATTTAAAAAAAAAATAGTGAATCTCCAAATTCTGCTTAAGATGTATTAATTCAATGGCAGATATTTTAAGCGAGATTACTATTAGGTTTTGACTAAAATGCTTAACTGAAAACAGCTCCTTGAGCAAGAGTTGTACAAGGATGCTGTAATAGATTATGCAACTAATGATGACAAAGAGGGTGGTCCCAAAATCTTGGCCGATAGTGTATGTGAGCCTTACTACTGAAATTGGCTGAAGGATTGTGTTGAGACTTCTTTGCAACTGGAGAAGAGCCCACACATAACCCTACAATCATCATGGCTTGCATAGGATAATTGCTGACCACCTGGTGAGGATATTACATCTGCCTCAGCAATTAAAACATCTGAACAAGTTTTGTTACTTACTCAGGACTAACATTGGATTTACTAAATTCATTGGGTAAACAGTTGGCTGGTGTCTCCACTCCTTCAGCTTCAATCAACTGGCGCTGTTGCATCAGATCAATGACATCATTGTAGTCCTGAAAGACAGGGGGAAAAAACCCCAAAAAACCTTGTTAATAAACAGGCTGAGGCACAACAGACTGAATGGAAAAAAAAAAAGCAAATGGAGACAACTGGTGTTACCTGTGTGCTAAGGTTACTGAAGTTTGCATTCAAATTTGCCATATTTCCAGGACTGGAGTATGGTATGGCTTATTGTAGGGACTGGTTGTGTGGCCACGGGATCACTAGAGTAGCATTGATTCAAGTGTTGTGCAAGGTTCTTGTAATGAATTATGTAACCAATGCTGATGAATGAATTTGATATTCTTTCATGGCATTTCTCAAGATAATGGGGTTAGAACCCATTCTCTCTTGAAGTAATCTGCAGTAAATTCTTGTACCAGTAACAGAGAGTAATTCCTTATTTGACTTATTGGGGAAGGTTGCAGGTTCAACAAATTTATTTGATGGTATTTAATCTATGCCTGGCTCAGAAATATCTCTGGAATTTTTTGTGCAAAGTGGTGTCTTTATTCAGATGCTATAGACTATCAGTAATTGTACTAAGGCCAACTCGATCATACTTTAAAATTAAATGTAAATAATGTATTTGTTAGATGATGGACTTATATGCCATCAAATTCAGTACTTTAGTTGGATTTGAACTCGGTTCCCTCATTTCGTTAAACCAGGATGAAGGTTATTCAGGCAGACATTTAAAGTAGGCCAGAAGAGGTGGAGAGGAGGCCTATATTCCTTCGATTAATGTATTTGGCTCAGAATTTGATTCCATTAAACCAGATTGAATGTTGTCCAAATTGACAGACATGTGAAAAAGGCCAAAAAGCACAATAATAAAAAAAAATGTAATAATACAAATACATTTTATTTTGTATATAAAAATAATACATTTAGTAAATGTTTATAAATTTATGAATAAAAATTGCTCTCCTATTTCTAAATAAATTGGCAAATGATAAACATTGCATTAGTTTTAATTGTATTAGTTTGTATAATGTTGTAAATAAACAATCTAATAATTAGTGTTTAATATTTTTGTTGTAAATTCTCAAGAATTAAAAAAAATATGTAAATTCTCTTTCATCATATATTTAGGTTTTACAATTTTATTAATTTTTTAAAACCATAAACAGTGCCAAAGAGTGAAGGTAGTTCGAATGTTAGTGATGTCAATAGAAAAATAGTTCTTTTGACACTGTTTGTGTTTTTATTTGTGGGCATGAAGGTCTAAGTTTGCCGATATTTCCTCATTCAAGAAATTCAGACAAAAATTAATAAAACATTATACTGTTATCACAGCTGTTTGAGGGCTTCTATAGCACCTCTAAACTTAACTAAAGTCAATTCAGGTTTGCTATGGTAAAAGTTTTCAATCCCAAGTAAAAGTCATCATAAAAATAGCAAAAATCAATTTGTCACAGCTTATTTTCTCTGAAAAAAAAATGGATTTTTATAAGGGTAAAATATTGAAAAATGACTGTTTTATCATCTGAACAAATATCAAGGAAACTTTTGATCTGAACCCCATGAAACTAGGTATTTTCTGAAAACAAACAATGCTCTCTCATTTAAAAGTAAAAATTGGCTGGTGTAAATGATGCCAAAATTTTTTTCCGGGGGTAAAAAGTGAAAAAAAAAAAAAAAAAAAGTGAAAATTTTGCATTTTTTTCCAGTTCTAAACAAAAATTTTACCTGATAATGGGAAATTAAGCTTTTTTTTTTTTTTTTTTTTTTTGAAAAATGCTAAAGCCTACATTGTGATCAAACTATTTCAGGCAAAAAATTGAGAGTTTGAAGGAAAACAATATTCCTAGGGGGTCAAAATGTGCAAAGTCCTTTGGTAATTTTCAATTATATAGCCACTGGGGGTTAAAAAGAATGACACCCGGCCACAAAAATCTTTAGTAAAAAGCGAAAGATTTATCGTCAATTCCTGACCACCAGAAACCAGGAGTTATTTAAAAAAATAAAATAAATAGCAGCGATAAGGAAAATTAAACCAAATTGACTTTGACATGTCTGGGTCAAAGGCTAGTCAGTCAGCTAGCCAGCGATAAATGTCATTGTCAACTTGTAAATCCCACCACTGGCAAGATAAGAGCAAAGAGTGAAAAAAAAAATGAAATATTGTTTAAAAGGTCTTGATAGGTTATTTTTATTTATTTATTTTTTTTTTCAAACCTATGTTTGAGCAATGGCTTGAAGTGTTTTGTTTTTTAACATCTCATAACCCAGGTGATGACAACAACACTTAGCAGATGACATTGTTTTTTCACTGCATGTCTTTCGTATTTTCCATCATCAGGTCATATGGCGTTTCGTTTTATTCAACGACATTCACACCAACTTAAATAGAACGGATTGAAGTTTGAACAAAATTGTTTTGAAGTGAACAAAGATATATTTTCATAAAAAAAAGGTGATTTTTCTCAGAAAATTGGTTATAATTTTTTAATGCTAATCTCCCCCACCCCCCGCATTGAAATTTGTCTCAGCTAAACAAAGATTAATTACCAGTGAATAATTCCACATGCAAACAATAGCTGTTTCGATCCTATAACATGGCCCGAAAACATCTAGAAGTTAACTGATTGATTGAAAACTTGTTGCACATAATTGTTTTCCATGGTCAGTTTTCATTATTTCATTTTAATGTTGTCATTTTCTGACAGCCAAGCAATCAAGGATTCAGGAAAACAGTTTGGCACAGGTTTACTTTGAGAACTTTGCATTCTATGAGGGTTTTTTTTTGCAGAATATTTCATTGAAGTGCCATCTTGGATTTTCCTATAGGCCAAAAACAAGCCTTTTAAACAGCTGAGTTATTATATTCAAGCTTTAATTCCTAACAGCTTAGATGGGTACTTCACCTAGTTATTAGATATTACTTTAAGTTTATAATGTCAACATTCTATTATGACAGCTGTTTTTTTTTTTTTTATTTCTTTCAGGAAAAAGAATCAAAAAAAGAGTCCAAGAAATCTTCAATTAAAAAAGGTAAGTTTTAAATGTGAAAATAAATATTGCTAAATTTAAAATAGTCAGAGATCTCAATGCATTTTTCCTTATACAGTTTTGTCTTTCATTATAAGCTGAAGCAATCAGAGGGAGCAGACACACTCCAGTGAAACATATCTTTGATAAATTTTCCATTTTGTCTCATATACTATAATACATTCTCCCTCACACACACACACACACACACACACACAGGGTGCCATGGATAAATTGTTGTCTAAATTGTGTGTGTCTCTGGTGATGGACCTGATTGATTTGTAGGGTTCGTTGTCAATCATGGTCTGATTCTTACCAACAAATTCAGGAGTTCTTTTCTTATCCGAATGATTAGAGTGAGTATTCTAAGCTGCTGTACCTGTGTAATCACCATTAGATTTATCCAACTTTTTCCAAACCCTCTGCAGATTGACACCCAAACACACCAAAATCTTTGTATTGGTTCTTCTGGTATAAATGCCAAGCAGTAC